ACGCATGTTATAGCGATGGAAACCTGTTCTTTGACCTGCTTCCAATTGTTGGTCTTCTCGACTTCAAAAAGCGAGTCAGTGATTCCTGGAAAGCTTGAGCTTCCGTAGACGTTGTGCATTTCAGGTGCGAAGAGAACGTGACGAGCTAAGCGCCTTCCTGGCAGTCCAAACGGCCAGATAAACGCTCGTTCCATGTTCATCATCTGATCATTGAGTCTGCGTAGTTTGGCAAAGTCTTGCATGTCACTAGCCTGGGCTTTTTTCTTCTCGAAGGCATCTGCGTTTTTTGAAAATGTTTCCACCTCTCGCTTCAAATATTCCAGAGTGATATTATCCTTTTGGAGTAGCTTCAGGTAATTCTTGTCCAGTGCGTCAAGGCTGCCTTTCAGAGCTACTTTATAGTCTTTCAGATTGAAAGGAAGCATTTGGGTGTCTGCAGCCTCCAAAACAATCCTGGCTCCAATTTGAGACATCAACAGGTGGGTCTTGAAATTCGGGTCGGTGAAGGTTTTTTGCCAGTAAAACGTATCATGAACGGTATGATAAACAGGATATAGCGACCTGTTCATGCTGCCAAACTCGTACTTCATGTCAATGCTAGGTACCCCAATAAAATGACTGAATGGCGCGTAGTCGGATCCTGAACCGAGACCACCAAACTTAGGCTCACCGGGTGCTGTGGGGGATGGGTATTTCCTTGCCCAGCTTTCATAGAGATTCGCATCGTTTTCATTACCATTGGGATCTGTCAAAAACTTAGATTCTTGGAATACCAAAGACTTCAAGCCAGGACTGCCATTGGCCTTGAAGCTGTAATTCCCACTCACAGCAGAATCGGTATTCAGGTACATAACTGCACGGTCCCTCAACATGTTTCTGTTTTCTTCCACCCACTCATATGAACCAATGAGACCGTACTCCTCCGCGCCCCAACTGCAGAAGACCATTGTGCGTCTAGGTCGCCAATCCGTCTTGGTCAACAGCTCTCCTATGCCACGCGTCACCTCCATCATAACCGCTGTGCCACTCGATGGATCCACTCCACCAAATACCCAAGCGTCTCGATGATTACCCATGAGTACCATCCGGTCGGGTTCTTCTTTGCCGATGATTGTGCCAATCACATTTATTGCTGGTTTTGTCACGAACTGATTGTTGACTTCAAGCCTTACTTTTACATTTGGATCTATAAATCCAGGTCCGAATCTGTACTTGATGGGCAATCCTCCTGTCCATTCCAAAGGAACTTCATCACCTGAAAGAAAGCAACACACCTTTCTTATTATGATTTTCTGAAATGCTTGCAGTGCAGATCGTGTTACCGTTGCGACTGACAAAGCTTTGACATCTTTTGGACATGTTTTCTTCACTTCAAAACGAAACGGGCTTCTGCATAATACAGAGCCCATTTAGTTTGCCAAAGAATGTTTGCAAACTAGTCAAAAACTTTGTCGAGTGCCAAAAGTAACGCAATCCACCAGATAAAACGGGTAGGCCTTAGCCGCTCTAAGTTTTAATAACAAAGACGCATTTAAATGGAGAACTAAACATTGCAATTATGCACGCAATTCGTTCTTAACTGTTACCCCTCTCACGCCCAATCACGTGATTTAGTACCTGCAAGGCGCTTTAAGAAGTGTACAGCGTTATCGTAAGTTATGACTTGGGCGGGGATTTTTGGCAATGCACCACTTTCATTTTTGCTTAGTCTGTAGATTCCATCTATGGACGGCAGGAGTGGAGTCAAGGGATCGCCATTGGCCATGCCTATTGTTCCTCTCTGGGTACCAGTCCCTGGCATCCACCAAGTCTTTGGAAAAGTATTGTTCATTCCTTCAGGAGAGTAGTCCGCTGGATCAGAGTAAAGTATTACACCAGCCGCTCCGCACTTTTGAGCATTTTGAACCTGCAGAACAATCGATCATACACGTTCTTTAGTTTGATAGAGCAAAGCTTCCTTCCGCAGGAAAAAGTCTTTTTTAAATGATACTAAAAATGAGGAATAAACATCAGTCTATAGCTGCCACTGCCCGAGTGATTTGGCTTCGCGAATGAGTTAAGTACTTGTCAGGCCGTGGGTTTGCCGTGGGTTGGTGCCCGACTGCATCACCTAAAAATAAACTAGTATGTGAAAATGCGTTACAAAGGCTTTGTGCAGGAGTTGCTTGCTCCAGTTTATGGGCCCCTGCCATATTCCACCGTCCGGTTAGCTCAGTTGAGAGAACACCGGTCTGCCGAGCGGAAGGTCGTGGATTGGAACCCTTGCCAGACCAATAACCAGGGTCTTTAAAAAACTGGTGTCATCATGCTGCCTGTGATTTGAGACCTTGACCCAGATGATCGAGTAAATGGGCGGTGACGTTAAATCGTTGGCTTCAGTGCCATTGGATCCAGACCTTGAGATAAAGGGGAGGTTAGGACATCCAGGCCCTTAGAAAAGGGGGGGGGGGGCGGTATCCCAAAAAATTTTTCGGCCCTTCGGCCCTCAGTTTGGTATAAAAATAATGGGGGGGGGGCGGGGCCTCTGGGCCCCTCCCCTGGATCCGCTACTGGACTTTATGTCTCCCTTCTCCCTTTTTTCGTTAGTCAAAATCGAGTTGGGCCTTAAAGAACCCCCACCACAATACCGTTCGAACAGGAGAGGGGAAGTTATGCACCACCATCTGGGACAGAGTGGGTTTAGGTGCCACGTGGGCGGTCAGAGAGGGGGGGGGGGGCGTTATCCCAAAAAATTTTTCGGCCCTTCGGCCCTCAGTTTGGTATAAAAATAATGGGGGGGGGCGGGACCTCTGGGCCCCTCCCCTGGATCCGCTACTGGACTTTATGTCTCCCTTCTTCCTTTTTTCGTTAGTCAAAATCGATGTGGACGTTAAAGAACCCACACCACAGTACCGTTCGAAAAGAGTAGGGGAAGTTTGCCGATGGTGTGGTTAACCTTTCACATATCGCACATCGTGCATATCATGGGCTGTGGGTGGTTTACAGTAAGCTCATAAATGGACTGATAGTGGCGCCAGTGGCGCCTTGTGTGCTGAAGTCCGAGCTTACTATTAAAGAGGGCGCGTCTTGTTGTCCTCTATTACATTACATTACATTACATTACATTACATTACATTACATTACATTACATTACATTACATTACATTACATTACATTACATTACATTACTCCAAGCGGCACGACCTTCAGGGCAAATAAGTACCCGGTAGTTGGTCAAGATAGGCATGGCAACAGCGACAGACAAAGAGAGATAACATGAAACAGATGAAAGGCAATATCTCTTACAAGTTGCGTGTAGTATTTTGTACCTTATTTCCTCTAAATATTTTTCCATAACGCATGATAATTATCCTCCCAGTACAGCTTAAATTTCTCTGTTCCAGTTTCTGAAAATCCTTAACGGTACCATAGTTTGCATACATCAAGTCAGCGTCCTCCACGATTCCAGGTGGAGAGTATCCCAGAAATGGTGGCAACACAAGAGAATCATTTTCACTTGGCTCTGCAATCTGAACAAAAAACTATTCAAGCAGAACTATTTTCTCCTGTTTTTTATTGATTGACTGACTGAGAGACCGAGTGACCTACTGACAAAAATGATTGGCTGATGGCCTGATATAAATCTGTTAAGCTACATTAAACATGTTTCAACAAGACTGAATCGATTATTTCCAACAAAGACGTTCAGTGCCCAAAATGACGGCAAATTGGCAATTGATCAACCACTTGTTTCCCCTCCTGTAAGGAACGAGCGCAGAAATCTCATATTGTATCACAAGTGACAACCCAGATCTGGGTCGTGCTTCTGATTGGTCGTGCAGCGAGGGAAATTTGCTTCGTCTTATTAGACGTACTACCCAGATCTAGGTAGTGACACGTCATCAGTATGGAATTTCTACAATCGTTCCCGAGACGTAATTTCGTGAAAAAGTCAGTGATTGCGTTACAAAATGTCGGCTGTTTTCTCAGGCCATTTCAAACGCTGATTCTGGAAAGCACATTCCCAATTTCAAACCAAAGAGGGTAAAAACCATTTGGAGCTAAACATACCTATATAGCTCTTACGAGGCCGCACCCAGCACCCTCTCTCCTTTCGCCGGGGTTTCAACCCCGGGGATGTATCCAACAAAGCTTTATACGGGGAGGCTGGGCCCCGAGGTCCAACCCCTTAACCTTTTATAAACCATTTTTGACACGGAAAAGGTAGCCTTTTAGTATACCTTCTGTGGACACATTGTACCACTTTGCATCCCTTTTGAATGCTGTAAATGCACTCACTGTCTTTGAAATATGGAAAAAATCGTAAATAAACCAGAACCTTTTGTCGACTTTTTCACAGACATAAACGGGCAACTGTAAGCCCTTTTGGGCCTTTTTACAGACCTAGAGACAGATTTCACCTCCCTTTCATATACTTCAAAAAGTGAAATCCCTACTCTTTCATATTACAGAAACCTGAAAAAGTTACCCCTTTCGGGCGGAGCCTCCCCGTATAGGCATTATAGGGAGTAGTCCCCCGGGGAATCAACCTACACAAAATGGAGCAGAGAAATTAAAATCAAAGCGACCAGTAGGTATTACCTTTTCGGGTCCCTCTACGTTCCACAAAACCGTTTTGTCAGTCGTGTTGATGATCCTGACAGCGTTTGGTTTATCTCTCGGTGGCATGGACAGAAGAACGTCGTACTGTACCATCTCTACATGATCAAATTTATATTTTTTCCATTCATCACGGATATATACTCCTAGCTTCTTGTTTTGTTCACCGCCTCCAACGTGGGGACGCTCAGTGAATTTGCTGCAAATATAGATCAGCTTCATTATGAGGTTCGTTTGAGAAACTAATTTTTGCACTAGCGAGGGTAACTTATTGCAGATTACTGTTGATTGGACAAGAACAGTTAATTCGTTGTCTCAAGAGCCATTATGGCTCTTGGTTGTCTGTATTAACGGGTATCCGTATTAAAGGAGTTGAATTGAGACAATATAAGAGCAGTTTCCCTAGGGTCAAAGAAAACCCTCCTTTATATCATCTAATACAAAAATAAATTGGGTGTCTCTAAAGCGGGATTCGAATGTGTAATTGTACGAGCCATCTTTTCCATTTCATAGCATCAATTTTTCTTGTATGAGGAAAGTGAGAAAATGTGCATTTCTTTTCTCACTATTAAACAAGGGTTGTATTCTGTAGAGCAAGTCACCGATGGTTAACGTATGGTAAAAATAATTCAAGGATAGCAGAGAGACTGAAATGCCCTGGATTTAAATCAACAGGAGGAGGTCAAATGATTTACCTATTGAATGTGGCCTTTTAGTTCACTTTATACTGAGTTAACTTAATTTCCAGCGGGGTTTTACGCGTGCAGATGATTATCATAAATAGACTTTTTTCACCAATATATCTGAAAGCCTAGAGAACTTAAGAGACAATTCTAGATCAAAATATAGTTCTCACAAACAAGGTTAGTGTATTTTGAGGCATTCGGAGAAATCGCTTCATTCTTACAGCTCCAAACAAAATTACTCGAAAACCCTCTCAGATAACTTGTTTAGAATAAGAACAACTCAAGGTAAGTATATGTACGTCAAGAACATAAACAACTTGCAAAACGAATGACCAGACTTCAGAACAAAAGTAGAAAATGTAAAAACAGCAACGATGTTACCCTATACAAAGATAGATCTCGGATCTCGCAAAAACTCACAATTTGAATCTTAGATCTATACCATATATAAGTTTGTGACTTGGTTTTCTGATTTGTTTGATGCATCTTTGAACTGCGTATTCAAGGTGGGAGGTAAGGTCACTGAAAAACAGTGGCGAGCTACCTTTTTAAAACAGGTGTAAAGTTTTAACTACGCATGTCAATTTGGCTATTGCGGCGAAGGTTTACCAAATTACCAGAAATTACCCCAAGTCCGTTATCACGATGTTCCTAAAAAAAAATTTTTTTCATTTGAAAAAGTAGTGAACCTTCTGTGGCAAAGGAGTAATGTGTTGACACCCCAATGCTATGGACAAATAACTGCCGGTGTATTTGTTAATTTATCCTAATTTCAAACCAATGATACATGACACGGGAATAAGTGGATAATGCATCAGTCAATTCCACCTGCGCCCAGGCCCCCCCCGGGCTGACCCCCGGGCATTAGCATTTTTTTTGCCTTGGAAGGCAAATTCCCGGGGGTGGGGACTCTTGAGCTGTCAAATTCCCCGGGGTGGGGACGAAAAAAGAGGGCAAATGCCCCGTCCTCCGTCAACACTACAACATTTTTCATTGATCGCACAGTCAAATAGTGCCGTTTTAAGCATTTTAATGTGCGATTTTTTTGGTTTAATTAACGTCTTCCTTTGTAACAGCGCGAGGATTCTAATTAAGACTTCACGCCGCGACGGCATGCACCAGTTTTAATATGGTTTTAATATTGGTATAAAATTATTGACATCAAAATTAATAGAGCGCTGTAAAGTTATGTGTTATGAATAGTTTTATAAATATGAAAGGATGTTCTTCAAATAATATCAACAGAAATTTGATTCAATAACCAAAAAACGTTGATTCACATCGATAGCTCCAATTTCGCTACGTAATTCTGGCTTAATAAGCAATGAAGAAATGCATACATACATTTAAAATCGCGAACATGCCTTTACAACCCTCTACAATTTATTTCTGTCCTTGACAAATGAGCCAATCTGCTTTTCTTCCAGTAAAACCTTATATTCTGATAGGAAACCGCGTGCGTGTCAAAAGCTCGGGATTGGCCCGGGGGTTGGCAAATGCCCGGCCCCCGGGAAGTGCAACATTTGCAAATGCCCCACCCCCGGGACTGACAAGGCGGGCAAATGCCCCGCAGTTGCCCGGGGGGGGGGGCTGGGCGCAGGTGGAATTGACTGATGCATTAACAACAACAACTTAGGCTATTAAAACAGGCTAAACCATCTACAGGGGACATTGACAGAATGCACAGTGCATAAAAATTCGCAGGAATGCGTGAATTTTTAAGCACAAGGCACTTTCCGTCGACAGCTGGTATTATGTTCCGACGGTAAATCAGTCTAGAGCTAGAGTCAATTAACCGACAACGCCCGGCGTTACAATACAAAGGCCTGTTATCCACTGTATCCGATATGAATATGTGGTGTGCGACAAACGCAGACTGCAGACTTGCAGACTGGCAGGTAAACGAGATAAACATTGTTATGAAATGCTCTAACAGATTCTGTATCCCTAAACTTTAAGTCTCCTAAAAGTCTAGTTTAGGGATAGGGAATCTGTTAAAGCATTTCACAACAATGTTTATCTCGTTTACCTGCCAGTCTACAAGTCTGCAATCTGCGTTTGTCGCACACTGTCCAATATGCAAACAATTTATAACTTACCGAGAAAATTTCTCCACACTCTCTGCGTTAAGTGCATTTACTGCTTGCTCGTGATATCGCTTGTAGTCGGTTTTCGGCTCTTTAAGATCGTGTTTCTTACCGCCCGAATCATTTGAAGACGTCTTGGACGATCCTAATTTCATAGCAAAATAACCGATGATGAAACCAATGAAGAATATGGCGATTGCAGCAATGACTGCCGCCGCAACGACGCAATAGAAGCGTTTGGTTCGCGTTGTTCTTTTAACTGGTTGTTCGGTTGTTAAATCAAATGTATCACCGCTAGCCATGTTTACTTACGGACGTTAAAGATCGTGCAAACAGCAACTTCTCTTTCATAAAGCCGTTTTTGCTATGCTTGGTTGGCGTGAGTTATCTATAATATGCTCGAAGAAGCAAACCAATCAAATCCTCTACGTGCTAAAATTAAGCCCTTTTATACGAGACGCTTCTTAGTGACTAACCACTCATGAAGACCTAATTATTATGAATAATTATTGGCCCAATATCAGAGATTCATAAGGTTAGCTTCTTCTAAACACGATCATTTATTCCCTATCAGCAGGTATAAAACTGAAAATTTATTTGCTTAGTTCATCAGGTGTCTTTATCGTTTCGTCTTAAACTTGTCAGATGTGCGAAAAGCAACGGAGAGTCACGGTAACGCGATACCCAATCTAACAGTGCATACAACGGTTTTATATTGAAAAATTGTCATCGCTGAGGCATTAAATGAAGTCAATGAATGCATGAATTAGCAGAAACTGAATCATCGCAGTTGTTCAAAAGCTACGGAATAGTGGATTTTTGTTGGATACAGATTTACGATTAACAGCAGAGTTTGAATCCAAGGGCCTGTGTAAAAAGTTTTTTAAATACAGTTTTTCAAGTTTTGTTTTTTGGGGGTTAAGGTCGTTATAATACAGAAATGAGGCCCGTTTCAAACGTCGTGCTTCTGCCGTGCTGAATTAAATTCGACTTTTGCACGGCAGTAGCAGGACGTTTGAAACCAAGTCGTGCTACTCAAACCTTGGTTTCGGTCGGTAGCTGGACTTGGTTTCAAATGTCGTGCTACCGCCGTGCCGAACTAAATTCATAAATTGTAAATACATTAGAATATAATAGTTTGCTAAACCTTTTCTACATTTTTGTGTTTTGTTTTCCGCAACAGCCGTTCTATTCGACTGAATTAAATTCGACGTCTGAAACCAAGTCGTGCTAGTGTCGGGCTGCAGTCGAGCTACGGTCGAGCCAGCTTAGCACGGCAATAGCACGACGTTTGAAACAGGCCTGATTTAGCTTTTTTTAGTATTTAAAGGGGCAGTGTCACATCAAATACAAACTGTTCGCATCAAATACATATTGCTCACATCAAAAACAAAATCCTTACATCAAATGCAGATTGCTCGCATCAAAAACAAATTGCTCACATCATATATTAAATTGCTCGCATCAAAAACAAAATCCTGACGTCATAACCAAGTTTAAACGGTCAGCGGTCGAAGTACGAAAACTGGTAAGTAGGTGGTACATGTGCAACCATCGTATAGCTGAAACACAAGACTGAAACTGACAATTTTTCATGTCACACCTTCTCAACCAACTTATTAAACTTTTTCCTGAGTGTACTTTGAATGAGATTCGTGTATATTTGCAAATGGGTGGTAATACATGAATCATTATTGGGAAGGACGTATTAACGTTGTAGAAAACAATAGGCTCTTTGCATGACTTGATCACCTGACCAACTTTCGGTAACCACGAAAACACTTCACTTTTGAACAATTTTGTTAGTACAAGCTGAAAGAGCATATTAAAATTTGGTAACCTGAGAATTTTCAGCCGTATATTTCAGAAGTAGCGATTGCAACCGCCACCGAAAGTTAGAAGTATCTGTATGAGAAAAACAACTTTTGTCATCCAGTCACGCTTGCGTAGTGTTCCATACAAATCCTTGTAAATTCTAAAATTTTTAGACTGTCGTTAAATCTTTCCCTTACGCATTTAACGGTTCAAATTGCTTGTTATGAATTAAAAGGAGATTTGAGCCCTGTAATGCTTAAGGAAATATTTCATGACAATTTTGAAAATCTAGAAATTAAAAGGATCTCTATGGAAAACCATGCAAGCGTGGATGGCAAATTTTTTTTTCTCATACGAATCTTCTACCTTTCGGCGGCCGTTGCAATCGCTAGTTTTGAAATATACAGCTGAAAATTCTCTGGTTACCTAATTTTAATTTTTTAGCGACTTTAGTAAATATAACAGTGCAGTTCGCTGATGAAAATTAGTATACTTCGGGCCGTGGTACAGAGCTGAAACTTCGCAGGCTTTCAGTTGATCTTTATATCGGCGGGGAAACCGGCAATCTAATAAATTTGGGTTTTCCACAGTGTAAAACGCTGTGCTATATAGCGCTCGCTAAGCTAAGCGATGGTCTCTCTGCAACCTCGTTCAGGTGGGAGAGAGAACCTGGGAACGAGGTTGGTTCTCTAGGCTCCTCGGTTTCTTGTTCACGCCTTTTCCTTCGTTGTTTTTGAAGTCGGCGTTCTCCCTCCCAGGAGTTTAGGTGGAAATCTTCCTGGGCGAGGATTTGGAGCCACTCGTTGTGCTTGTGTGTCATTTGCAAAAATGTTCGTGATTCATCGATGTTAAACATTGTTTCACAGACGATGAATAAACACAACAGCCGTTCATGAATGATACATGAACATTCGCCCTGGTCAACGGCGGCAAGGTCTATGTTGCCTGGAAACGCAAAATGCTCCATGACGAAACGCTAAATGACGTCATTGACGGACGCCAAGCATATATTCATATTATGGGGCATCTAATTTTGCAGCTGCTAAGACCACGCGCGGTTAGCAGACTGTTCGACGAGATTATAAAGTCGCTACGCTCGAAACAAATAACCGTTTTACATCTGCAAAGAGCACAGCCTGAGGTTGGAGAAGATCCATCTCTTGAAACTTTCAGTAAGTCTTTGTTAGGCGGGTGTGAAAGTATTGACACCCAGCGATGCTCAAATTAAAAAGTCTGAAATCTGAAATCTAAAATTTGTAGTCTCCCTTGGTTTTCGTACCACATGAAACGTTGAACACTAACTTAACCGTGAATCGCGCGGAATTGAAGTTGACTTTCTCTTCTATTGTTCTTGCTAATCATTATCTTTCACGTTCCCCTCCTCTGAAAAGCGATCATTTTGTTCATCAGTGTATAAATTTGCAATATTTAAAATGCTGCGCACAAAGGTTTTTTTTCACTCATTTCCCAGACGCTGTAAAGTGTACCAGCCAAGTAATCTACGCGAATCAAAATTCCACCGTGTAAGAGCAGGGTTATGGGTTCCTGGTAAGAGTAACGAACCAACGCTTGACGATTCTGACCCGTGGGAGGCACACCCTATAGAAAAATATGAAACGGCGAACTGATCCTTACGGCGAGGCGATGAGGAAGTAAAAATATATATCAGGAGCCAGCTCCTGTATATATATATATATATATATA